GTCACTTCACGTTATGACATACTGATTTATTTGTTGTCATTCAACAAGTTGAAGTTTAAAAACGCATATTATATCATTCTGTTTTAAGATTTTAAAGATCTTGTCTAAATTTAAAATAGATTTTGATTTATATCAATATATTAGATTGTAGCTACAATGCTAATTGGGCTTTACGTAATGTTCGTTGTCTTTTCTAACATCTGCTACCGATATTTCCTTGCGATTTTAAAACTGACACCTTTTGTAATGAGAGGCTAGAAGACGGGCCGTTGGTACATCCCAGGGATAGCAAGCACCAATTATCTATTGAGAAAGGTTATTGAAACAAACATTAATAACCAATAAAACGGACAAGTATGAGGTGTTCAAGGCCTAACAACTGTCAGGGTCATTAGGGCACCAATCCTGCATGTTTTTATCCTTCAAGTCTAATACAATTCTTAACAAAGTTAAGGCCTGAGCTCTGGGTGCACGTAACTACTGAATCCACCTCGGATGCATAATAATACTTGCATTACTACCAGTGATCCTAGCGATTATTATCCTACACATTGCGCATAGCGTATTGGGTGTATGTGTGTGTGTTTGTAATTACCTAAGTGTAGTTACAGGATGTGAATTACGCTCGTGGTGTCCCGTCTTCCCAGGACTCTTTGTCATATAACGTTACGCATGTGTACTTGCCTGTAGTCGGCTTTGTATGTATAAAACTATTGTGACGATAATCTCTTTCAAGAGAGATTGAGCCTGCTCTTCCCTCCAAAGTACGTCACATCAATAGATAATATAGAAGATATATCCAACAAGTATCTCCAAAACGTTTTGCCCAGAGAGCAAAACGTATCCAGCACACCGGCACACCTGCTCGCCCCCGCCATCATTAACCAGCAAACTGCTTGTCCATCGCCTGCTGGTCGCTGATTGGCTGGTGCCCAGTCGCACCTGCCCAACCACCCTCCGCCACTAGTTGATGTCTGGGCTGCAGCGACCCAGAGAAGGCAGAATATTCCAGTGCCCCTTGCAGGTGACACGTCTCATTGGTAGACTAAGCCTTGGCTTACGTGTACTAAGGTAGGTGGCAGCTCGAAGCCAATATTAAGGCACTATCATTATTTACTTTGCTATTATTCACTTGTCTTAACGTAACTTTTCATTTGCCAGTGATTATTCATATTATTTTGTTTGTTGACTTGTCTGTTACATTTTATGCCCAATTTTATTCATGTCTTGCTTTTCTAAAGTAATTAAAATTTCATTGTTAAATTTACTTGTGTTTTGTGTGTCTTCCCATTACCTTACCACAAACGAAAGTTCCAGCTTTTCTCTTTTTTTTTTCTTTATGTGACGAGGCCCTGCCCCTAGCTTTTGAAACAGCCGAACACCAACGCTTTACCGTCACACTATTAACATTAAATCGTAATACAGACACGACATGCAAGCACAGAACTAGTAACATTACATCTATATATATAAAACCGTTACAAATTTCCTTCAAGACCACGATATTAAGGGTATAAAATAGTGTAATAGAGTGGTGACTGGGGTCAGCAACCAGGAACATGCTGATCTGAGAGATGGCAGGCACAATGTCACATTTTTCAAGGCTACAAATTGTATCAAAGGAATTCCACCCCCTAAAATTCACCCTCATATTTCATCCTCGATACAAAATTCACTTTTAAAAGGATTTCTCTGGTGCTCACAGGGAATTATTTCATTTTATCCATTTGCATATTGAATTATGTTCTTATTTTATATTAATCTACACAAAGAAATCACATTAACGTCATGTATCAATGAGAAAATTAGTAGGAGCCAGTGAAGAGGATTCGAACCTATGGTCAGGGTACACTTAGCACACGCCTGCCTTGCATTATATATGTTAATTACTGTGTTGCATCGCCTTCGTAACACACAATAGTTCGTTAATTTTAACCGGTTTGGGTGGCTTTTGTGAATACATCAAGGAAAATTACTCCAACGATTTGAAACTTGTAGTTTGTGTTATTAGTTTAAGCAATTAAATTCCCGTTATCATAGGCTGGGCATGATCATTAACAGAACAAAACCGGAATTAACTTCGTTTCAACTTGCTTCTTCTCCTTCATTGGCCTCTAACTATACTTACAAATTACTTTGCTACTTTCAGTTCGCCACCAGGCTTAATCACCAATTATTTAATTACCAATTAGGTGCAATCCAGACGCCTAGCTTCCATCCACCCCAAAACCTGGGAAGGTGCCGGTCAGTCTGTTCCCACAAGCACTATCAGTTATCATTCATTATTCTACGTATTATAAGTTTGAAACTACGCTGTTGTTCTGAAACATTCTACAAATACTAGACATCTTCCCTGCTAATATGCAGTCATTCAAATAGCGTTAACTGGTTTGCATTTAATTCGTGAATGTAGGATTTTTGAATATTTCATTCAACTTTCCTTCGTGTAAGAATTATATGCGCTTGTGCAATGGAGTTTGTTATTGTTTAACAGCTGACAGTGATAGAATGCGGTGTGTGGTTAGTTGACAGGGTGGGTGTACGTCCAGCCAGTTGACAGGGTGGGTGCACGTCCAGCCAGTTGACAGGGTGGGTGTACGTCCAGTCAGTTGACAGGGTGGGTGCACGTCCAGCCAGTTGACAGGGTGGGTGCACGTCCAGCCAATTGACAGGGTGGGTGTACGTCCAGTCAGTTGACAGGGTGGGTGCACGTCCAGTCAGTTGACAGGGTGGGTGCACGTCCAGTCAGTTGACAGGGTGGGTGTACGTCCCAGCTGTCCAGTGTTGTGGCCAGCAGACAGGAACGGCAGGTGCTGTGGCCAGCTGACAGGAACGGCAGGTGCTGTGGCCAGCTGACAGGAACGGCGGGTGCTGTGGCCAGCAGACAGGAACGGCAGGAGCTGTGGCCAGCAGACAGGAACGGCAGGAGCTGTGGCCAGCAGACAGGAACGGCAGGTGCTGTGGCCAGCTAACAGGAACGGCGGGTGCTGTGGCCAGCAGACAGGAACGGCAGGAGCTGTGGCCAGCAGACAGGAACGGCAGGAGCTGTGGCCAGCAGACAGGAACGGCGGGTGCTGTGGCCAGCTGACAGGAACGGCGGGAGCTGTGGCCAGCAGACAGGAACGGCAGGAGCTGTGGCCAGCAGACAGGAACGGCGGGTGCTGTGGCCAGCTGACAGGAACGGCAGGAGCTGTGGCCAGCAGACAGGAACGGCAGGAGCTGTGGCCAGCAGACAGGAACGGCAGGAGCTGTGGCCAGCTGACAGGAACGGCGGGTGCTGTGGCCAGCAGACAGGAACGGCGGGTGCTGTGGCCAGCTGACAGGAACGGCGTGTGCTGTGGCCAGCAGACAGGATCGGTAGGTGCTGTGGCCAGCAGACAGGAATGGCGTGTGCTGTGGCCAGCAGACAGGAATGGCGTGACAGCTGACAGCACTAATTTGCGTTGTCCATTATCATTTTCTTTGGTTTTAATATTAATAATATTTTGATAATTCTAATTATACCTAACAATACTTATCAATATCATTTCTATATTACTAAGCATCTCATAATTATTCTAATTATTTGTGTCATTATTTTAATTGCTATTAAAATTCTTGTTTATAGTTAAGGAAGATGCGTAGGCGTATATTTGAGTAATTTGTGTTTAAAAGAAAATAATAGCCTCGTATATTTTAACCAACGGATATTTGAAAGTAAAAAAAAAATATTTAACACCACATTATTTAACTATCTTGTTTAAAATATGTTGAAGTGATAATATATAAATTATTTGAATCTTACATTATTCATTTAACTGACTAATGAGAAAATACAAATGTTCACTGAATCACATGAAGCTGTACACTTAAATTAACTAATTAACTACCCAGTTAAAAATTCATGGCCACTAATAAAGTCATTAATCACATTATTAGGGTGGTCAGCAGTTGCAAGTTGGCGGAGTGTCAAGCAAGCCTTGACAGGCGTCATATGCCAGGCCGCATGACACGACAACCCTTCCTCCGCCCTGGGCAGGGCTTGACTGGTAAACTTCCATGGCCTAGTGTCAAAGGAAGTCTTCCATTGATGATATATGGTGGAGGTGCTTGTGGGTGGGAACGACAGGTTGCAGTGATCACTTGATCACTGCAACCATTGTCATTGCAGATGTGCGTGATTAGTGTGGCTGTGATAGGACACAAGCATTGAGGTGCATTGGTGTGGTGGATGGCTCTTGGGGTGGAGGGGGGGGGAGGGGTAACGACAGGTTGCAGTGATCAGTTGATCACTGCAACCATTGTCATTGCAGAGTCATTGCAGATGTGCGTGATTAGTGTGGCGAAGCCAGGCTGTGGTAGGACACAAGCATTGAGGTGCAAGGTGTGGTGGAGGGCTCTTGGGGTGGGGGGGGGCAGGTGGCTGTGGTAGAGTGGGGGGTGTTGTGGGGTGGGGTTGGGGGGGAGGCGTAACGAGAGGGTGGAGCAACCACAACAAGGACGACGCTTGTTTCACACACCTGAGTCGAAGTCAGCCATGAGAATGTTTGTTTGGGGGCCGAGGCGACTGACTGTCCCGTCCCGAAGGCACTTGTGAAGCAACCTGCTCCCTGCACACCTGCTCGCTGCAATATCACTCACTCTCGCCGCCTCAAGCGACGCCTACGGCCCGCACTCGCCTCCCATTTCACTCAAATATCCCTCATTTCTAGCGGCAAAACCCGCACGATACACGCCATGAGACAATCAATCCAAGCCGCCGCAAATTATTGAATTTCCCGCCTTCCCGACGCAACTGCCATGCCGCGCAACCGTCGCCGCTCTTCGCGCCCAGCAACTAGACCAACCTGGCGGGAACCAACTTTCCCGCCACCCGTTAATCCCCCACTTTAAAAAAACCTTCTGGCGGGCTTGCCAGTACCTGGAAGATGATGATGAGAGGTGAAATAGGGGGAAGAAATGCCCCTGGAGGGTTTATTATGGGGGAGAAGAGGCGTAGGAATACAAGGGGGATGGAGTCCGGAGGCCGCCAGTTGGCCATTAGCTGTCACTTTAGTTGGCGCGCGGTCTGAGTGCACCATCGCTCGTCACGACGGGCTCCTGCTGTTTTTCCTCAGTTTGATTCAGTTCTTTTTTTCCTCCCTCTAGGAAAACCTCCCCCCTACACCTGCAGCTCGTCCAGTGACCGGTAAGTGGCGGGCGTGAGGTGGGAGAGGGAAGGGAAAGGCCGCCCCCGACATATACGGCATGTTCATATCGATCTTTTCTTTGGGTGCCTCACGCACGCCATGCCTATCCCTTGCCGCCGCCCATCCCACCATGTGTTGCCTATCCACACCACCCACGTGCAACACACGTGTTGAGGCGCTGATTGTGGGGGGCAATAGGCCCTCTACGCCCCCCCTGAAGGGTGTAGGCCAGTGGGAAAGGGAGGCGGGAAAGGGAAAGGGGTTAAGGTTGGCGGGAAAGTGGCGCTCGGGAGGGAGAGGGGGTATATGTGTGTGCTGGGTTGACTAGGGTTGGTCTAGCCACCTCCCTGGCCTAGCCTCTATCCTCGTGCTGGTGTGCTGGGCCTCGTAGGGGTGTTGTGGTGGGTCTTGCCTACGCCACTGCAGGTGTGGAGGGAAGTATGCACTTGCAGGTGTGTGCTGGGTTGACTAGGGTTGGTCTAGCCACCTCCCTGCCCTAGCCTCTATCCTCCTGCTGGTGTGGTGGGCCTCGTAGGGGTGTTGTGGGGGTATTATCCCCCCCACAACCACGCCGCTGCAGGTGTAGAGGGAAAAACGTAGTTGCAGGTGTGTGCTGGGTTGCCTATAACATATCAACCACTATCTACGTCAGTGCTAGTATCGTGGCGAAGGTTAGGTTAGGAAATGTACCTTTTAGGGGGTGTTGTGGGGGTATTATCCCCCCCCACACAACCACGCCACTGCAGGTGTGGAGGGAAGAACGTAGTTGCAGGTGTGTGCTGGGTTGCCTATAACGCATCAACCACAATCTACGTCAATGTTACTATCGTGGTTAAGGTTAGACGTAGGAAAACACACCAGTAACTTAGAGTTAAAGGTCTCAAACCTGCAGATGTGTACCACCTGTTTGGTGTGTGTGTGTGTGTGGGGGGGGGGGAGGGGGTTGACGGGCCGGATTTATATTCTAAGTGATGAATAATTTATTTCTCCTGTGTATATGGATCACATAATACTAAATAAGTGTCGTACCCTAACCATCACAGCCTGAGGGAACTAGAAATATAATAAAAGGTTAAATAAATCATTCACACAAATCATACTTGTAGTTCATTCCTAAAGTTTTTTTTTTTTTAAGAAGGAATTATATTTTTTAAGCGATTCTACGGAAGAAACGCAAATGTTATATAGTTATATAACGAGGCAAATGTTGCTATATTGTGGTGTAGATATATGAAGGCAGGTGTACTAAGCTGTTGTACACCTGTTGTACACAGCTAGTGTTCGCTAGACTAAAATGTTAAAAGCAATGTTACTATTTTTGGACGCTAATACTTGTTGACGCTTTGTTAAAGTTCTGGCAATGATTTTGAGGTCCGGTTTCTGGAGGGAGGGGGGGGGGGGTGTTGAGGCAGTGTTTTCGTGTAGGGGGGGGGGTGTCGAGGCAGTGTTTTCATGGAGGGGGGGTGTTGAGGCAGTGGTTTCGTGGAGGGGTGGGGGAGGTGTTGAAGCAGGGTTTTCGTGGAGGGGGGGTGTTGAGGCAGTGTTTTCGTGGAGGTTGGGGGGGGTTATGCAGGGTTTTCGTGGAGGGGGGATGCTGCAGGGTTTTCGTGGAGGGGGGTGGTGAGGCAGTGTTTTCGTGGAGGGGGGGATGATGCAGGGCTTTCGTTGAGGGGGGGGGGGGAATGATGCAGGGTTTTCGTGGAGGGGGGGGGGTTGATTCAATGGTTTTTCTTGGATGGGGTGTCGAGGCAGTTTGTTTTGGATGGGGGGGGGGGTCAAGGCAGTGTTTTTGTAGATGGGGGGGGGGTCGAATCTGTGTTTTTTATGGACGGGGGGGGGTCGAAGCTGTGTTTTCGTAGTTGGGGGGGTAGAGGCAGTTTTTGTGGATGGAGGGGGGGGTCGAGGCAGTGTTTTTGTGAATCGGGGTCGTGGCGTTGTTTGTTTGGAAGGAGTGGAGATGGGGTGGGGGGGTGAAGGCAGTATTTAGTGGGGGGGGGCCTTTAGGCAGTGTTTGAAGGAGAGAGGTGGGGAGCCATGTAGGCTTAGGGGGTAGTTGAAGGTTAGTGGTTTGAGTCGAAGATGGCATTTTGCATCTTGTTGGGTTCAGGCTGTGATTGAGGGCTCTCCCATCTTCCTTTTGCTTTTCCAATAAGTCATCAGATTTGCCCAGTCTTTCTTTTCAAGTCTTCAAGAGTTTTCAGTCTACAAGACTTTTCCAGTCTCTGAGACTGGCAGTCTTTTAATTATATTTTAATGCAGAGTCAATACGACAGTATGTATTAACATTTGTTTGAAAGCCAAAAAGTACATACATAATCCGTATGTACTAGTATTATGATATGCAATTGTAAATTTTTAATATACATATGAAGATGGATAGTAAAGTACTGTACAAGGTTGATGCTTCTTTTGAAAGGTTAAAACATTCTGCTTGATAAGTTTCCTTCACATAAATTGAAGTTTTGTTAGTCAATATATGATGGTTATTTCAACTTCTGTAATAAAACGCATTAGGTTTGAATTCACTGTGTATATTATGACAAATGTTGCTAATGTATGTTTGATCTTAGATATGATTAACTCTGAGAAGTGTGAATTTAAACATGCTGGATGCCAACCTCATTTAATAAATCGTCCCATTTTGACTTGCACTCTACCGAAGGCCGAAAATTGTCGTACTAGAAAATGGTAGAGGTTAGCAAAATTGACACTTAAGTTTTCTGTTTCGGGTCCTCTGGTAGGTTAAGATAAGGGCACTTTAGAACGATAGTTTCTTGACGTTGAAGAATCTTAGGAGGACGGGCTGCTTATTGCACTCGAGTTGAGTGAATTAGTTCTTCTCTGTTGCATTAATATAGATCATTAAGTTGAGTGCAGGCCTTCAGAAGGTTTGTATAAAGCTAGTCAGTGAATGGCTTTATTAAACTTTGGCCATATTTTATTACTGTTATAATGAGACTGGGCCTTGTGTAGCAGACAGTTTGCAGACCAAATTTCACATGACAAGTTTTTCATTAGGCAAAATTGTTTCCGTAAACATTATTGTAAGCCTTGATAATATTTGTCAGTTGTTAAGTAGACAATTGTAGTTTCTTTAAATTTTTATTAAAATTTTGGAATGCTGCCTTAGATTGTAAACATCTTTGGCCTCAAACATTGGTATACATACAATCTAATACATTTAAGGTTGATAACCACACTATAAATAGTTAAATGGGTTATTGGATTTTATGATTGTAATGTTTGAATCGATTTTGCTTGAATTAATTTGAAAGACTTAAGTGTACTTGAAATTAGGGCAGTAATTTGATAGTGGCACAAACCAGATTTGCTGCCTGTAATTTTAATATGAACTACTAAATGATGGCGAGGTACTAATTGATAAAATAGTTTCTCGATAAAAAATAAATTTTAAGGAGTTCACAAGTTTAGGGTTAAATATTACGGACACTAATGTAGTTATAAAATTATAGTTGTCGTGACAATAAGTTGTGCGCGTCAATATGAGTAATAATAATCCATATATATTTTTCAATGGATAAAACTGAACCAGTTTGTCAGACTATTCTATACGGGGATGTTGGTATCTAAATGCACTACAGTTTTATCAGTACCTGTGTAATACAGCTGAATAAAATGTATTATTTACTTGCAGTTTTGTCTATACTGATTATTGAGTAAAATATTTTATTTTTGGACTATCCTATCTAAGAATAGGATAGTGACGAAACTGGTTACTGGACTGGTTTTTCACTTTCAAAGTAAAAAATTTTTTTTTAACACTTTCAACAGTTGCTTCGTCCATTGGCGGTATTTTGTATGATTGACAGTTACTTTAATGCCCTTAATAAATAATGTTTGTGTTTTTGGCTAGCAAGTCATTGGTATGAGGCTTGTTCCAGAGATTAGAAACTGATTTGGAATAGCTGTCCGTTGAAATGATTGGATATGGTCAGTATTATTCAGGCTTAGAGTATATAATAACCCTTGCCTAACTCTACTCGGTAGCCAAAACTAGATAGTTTTGGCTAGCTAGTAGAGATGCTTATAATCTGCTTCAAAAGTATAACTTTGTTCTATTCATCTCGTTTGTCCCTTATTATTTTCCGTGTCCTCCTTTCTAGTTACTTGAGTTTGTTCTGCCTCCTCCCACCTTGTCAGCAAACATGGAAGATTTCCTTATCCTGCTGCAAAATACCGGTATTTTTAAAGACGGTAATTATATCACCAGAGGCCTTCATTTTCTTGGTCTAATTTAAGAAATTTTCCTTCATAAATATTTAGCAAATCCACAATCACCAACAACCTACCAAGAAAACAACTCATTATTTCTAACATCCTAAAACCCTTTAAATTTTCATTTGTTGTGTTGTCCTTCCCTGTGGCGGTGCCCATCTTTGTTGACACTTTTAAATTACAACTACGAATGAAAATTTTTCGCTTTTACATTTGTTTTATCTCGTTTATTTTTCAAATATCCTATAACTTTGTTTGATGACGCACGGTCATCAAACTGTTCTTCAATATTTACTAAATTGGATTTTCCTGGAGCAACTAGCTGGCTGGCCATGATGGGAAGGGGGTAGTGTGTCCGTCCGTCTCTCCATCCGTCTCTCCATGTGTCCAAGGTTGAAGACAAAGTGCTAAGGGTTGACCTCTCCCAGCTTTGCAGGGTGACTGATAAGGGAAAAATGGGGGAGGGGGGTGATAAATATAGATAGGTCGGAGTCAGCCCCGTTTGAGGACCTCTATACAGGCTGTTTACCTATGTGGTTGGGTCCAATCGAGTGAGGAATTATCATTTTGTTTAATTATTTTACTTCCCTACAAAATGACCAACCCTAAGCACCTAGGTTGCAATGAGGTAGTTGATGACATAGCGAAGAGAGCCACTGAAAAAACTCTTGTTGATGTTGTATGTCAGTTAACCTTGAAACAAATAAAAACAAGACTCAAGGTGATTCAGGAGGGTGAAGAAATGATAAAGAGAATGGCAATG